AGATTGCTGGTTAAGAAATGGAAACAAACTGCTTAATCAGAATATTGATTTGCTGTTTTCATGCGGCTTTGTGGCCCAGCTCAGGGCACCCCACACACAACAGGTGACCCCAGGGGTGTGAATGAAGCCAGTGAGAGCAGCGCAGGGGGGGTAATTCATCAGGTGTTTGTGAATGGAAGGAATTTTACAACGTGCCCTATTCTTTTGAAATCAGAAAAAAAATTTCAGGTGACATCTCTAAGACCCAACAAACCACTTACAGGGAACAGCACACACGGTAAAAAAAAAAGGGGGGGGGGGAAATATGCTTTGGTATGCCTGAAGCAAACGCAAAGCACGATGCTGAAAACAACTAAACATCCAAAAACACAAACAAGAGGAAAGGTAGCAAGTTTTATTGTATTCAGTGGAGTGAAAAGCTTGTACTTTGGAGTTTGGATGGTGACAGTGGCTGGTTCTGTGCCCAGTGAACCCTACCTGTCGGTGAGCATTCCACCCCCCCAGCACAGGCTGTTGCCACTGCAGAAGGACAGCTGAATGAGAGCCTTCTGAAGCCTGGCAAGGGGAATGGAGCCAGGAGCAAAGAGTCACACTTTAATTTATACCCACTATGTCAGTTTGAGCTCATAGTGCAGTACTCTCAGATACACATAGCCATGTCCCACTGCCATCCCTGAATGCCATTCTTTGAGCCACAACCTGTCTTCTGTCCTGACTGTGGAGAAGGCTAACGATGAATGAGGTGAAGGATGAAGGATCTCATGGCAATTGCTTTGGAATAGCTAACATCCGCACAAAATTAGACAGGATATTAATAAACTGGCAGCTCACCAACTCAGCTGCACTAAAACTGTGCACAGCCCAGGACTTCGCCCTGTGTGTTCAGGGAGGTGGACTGGAGGGTGTCAGGGCTGGCATCACAGCCCATAGCCATACCTGTATGCTGTGGGCTCTGTGTAGAAACTTTGCATTCATCACACATGGAATGGACTTGAATACCTTCCTAGATGAAGGGGGTTTTGCTCATCCAATGTTCTCATGAGCCCAGGAAGCTGGAAGCCTGCTGTGCTGCAACATCAATATAGCATTTGCTGTCCACGTCTTGAGAACACTGCGCTCTGACTGAAAGCTCAACATGACATTTGCCATTTTATGTTAGAAATACAACTAAATGTAACTAATTCTAACCTTCATCCCTTATCTGAATGTCATAATTCTTAATTTGCAGATAAAACTGGCTTTTAAATTAACAGATATGGCAAAGCCAATGATGGCAACTTTGTGGTTACGGATATTAGGAAATCTTGGCTCTCAAAGTTTCTGGGAGAAGACAAGAAGTTAACAGTTCAACTCAATATATAAACAGATACATGGAATCCAAGACAGAAATAAGGTGCTTGCTCACTTTTAAATCTTTAGTCCAGCATCTACTTATCGACCTGAAGTGAAAGACCAAAAGAAGAGACCAGACAGAGCTTCAGCTAAAATTAATGTCAAATGCTCACAGTTTGTAGTGGTCATACAGACCTTGTGCAAACTTCACAAACCTCACTTCATCCAGTTATGCCTTACGGGCCTTGTTTGGCCATTGGGTGCTAAGAGGCATTGTTGGGGGTGCTTAGCAGCCCTTGTTGCTGCAGCTGCAGTGCACAGCTCACTGCTCTGCTTGAGATGCCTTCCACAAAGATGCCAGACCACAGCCTCCTGCACCGGTAAAGCTGAGTGCAAACCAGTGCACTGGAGAGAGGATGAGCTGTGGGAGAGGAGCAGCAGGATGCTCATGAGCTGCTCTGACACACCAGTGTTTTGCAACAAGAAATGAAAACTGCATGTTTAGGCCACTTACAGTAATGGGAGTGGGAGTTCTGTGAGGATATCTTGAGTTCAATCAATTAGTTTCCCTCCCAAGGCACAAATAAATGCAAATTTTACTCATTTACATTTCTCCTGCTGACATATTTCCTGGTGGTAATCCAAGTTCTTTTGCTTAGGTGCCCATGTTTCTTCTTTAATGTCGCAGTCCTGTAGTTACTGTCTCTCTTTCTCTCTTCCCCTGTATTTTTTGCACTCCCAGATGGCCTGGTTTGCTTTTTCACCTCTCCACTTTTTCCACCCCCTGTTGCAGACAGTAAAAGCAACAGAATAAAAAATTAAAAGGATCCATAGCCCTTGGGGAAAGCAAATCTCTGTCCCTTGAGGCTGACAGAAGCTGAACACACTGACAGTAGCTATGCAGGCTACCTTGCATAGCTGGAGTGGGATAAATACACAGTGTGTGTCCACAGCCTTTAGAAACGTATTCTTTAAATGCATCTTGTGCAACAAACTTAAGCTGTGCTTTTTAAGCCTGACTCTGTCCCAGTATAATGCTACGTGGATGAACAGCGTACATAAATGACAGAAGATGCTTTGACCTTAGAGGTGATTTCCTCTGCTACCTCTGAGACTGTGTGATTTCAGAAAACTGTCAATGTGTCACCCACTCCATCAAGATGAAATAAATGGCCTTACCCTTGCTGTCACTGAAGTCACGTACAATTTCTGATTCCCTGAAAGGAGCAAACCACAAGTTTTATGAGTTATTCTAAGGATTCTGAAATGCAACAGGAAGAGGGGAAGCCTGTCTTCCACTTCGGCTCTACTTCCAACTCAAATTTCTCCTTTAGATCACTCTAAGGAGAGGATGAACACTGCAGCAAAGATAAGTTGATGTGCTGCACAGGACCTGAAACAGAAATGGTTTCAAAATGGTGAAACTGAAACAGTGATCGTAAACATGTCCTGCTCCAAACTGCACAAGAAGAAAACAGAAAATATCTGTCCACCTCCAGAGCCAAGGGAACAAGCCTGTAGGCTGACTGCTTCTTTCCAGCTTCTTCCTTTACCTTTTTGTTTTGTTTAGATACCTCTTGTCTCCACGAGTCCCCTTTCCTTGTGCAGCAGCACACAGATCCCCATCACAGAGCATGCAGTTGCCAAGTGTGACCCTACTCTTGTTCGTGTACCTCTCCAAAGCGCACAGGAAGAAGAAAACTGCTATTAATAATCCTCTAGTCTGACCTTTACATTTTCTTGGTATATTACATTCTCAGGGGTGCGTTCATCAGAAGGATGAACTCTCCGTCACAGAGGAAAAGACATTACAGTGGTGGAGACAGAAAGCGAGTCATGTGGGCATCTTCAGCTCAATGTGAGATTGATTAATTTCTGCAACACACAACTGCTCCTGAATTTTGGGTTCACAGTCATGTTTAAAGTGAACTTATCCGCCGCGTAATGATTTAATTTGTACACTCCTTAACTACTGTAATGGCCAGGCAGCAGGGTATTGATTAGGTGCAATGTATGCTGCATAGGCAACACAATTAATAGAAAGAAGTAGATGCTCTCTCTCTGACCAGTGACCTCCGTAAGCACAACATGTAGGGCCAGAAAAGAAAGGACCTGACCATGAGGTCCTAGCCTGGCCTAGGTGAAACAGAAATAAACTCACTGCAATATCTGGCATCCTTCTTAATGGACACAGGCACGCAGTGTCTTCTGATGGAATAGGTGCCAATCTCTCTGGGGCTGTTCCTGCTGTGAAGCATTTGTTCGTGACCCTGCCTGAGCCCAGACTCACAGATCATTTGAACACGTTTCCTGAACTCGGTTCTGGCATCCCAGCTTGCCATCGCTGACTGTTCCTGGAAGCACGCAGGGTGCAGGGTGCCAGCAAGGTGCTTGGCAGAGCAGCTGTGGGATGGGGCTGATGGCTGTGAGCTGCTCAGTGCTGCCTCCCTGCAGAGCCCATGCCGATCAGACAGGTTAAGTTAAATCCCAAGACTGGCAAAAACCTCATGGGTGGCAAGATACAAATGTTGGAGCTGGCTGGCACACCTGGCTAGCAGTGTCCTGCAGCTCCCATGACTGATGCAGCAATCCCCTCGGTAGGGATGCAGGTTTGTGCTGCAGTATGTGACCTGCTCAGCCTTGAGCGTTGCAGAAACAAGGAAGTGAGCAGCTCGTAATGGGTGTGTTCTGCTCACAGGGACTCTCAGCTTTGCAAAGAGCGATTTCCATCAAGATGTCCAACTTAGGAGAAAGAACTGAAAGTGAGATTTCAGCAGTAAGCATGCAGGCTGTTAGCAGGGGCATGCTGCAGCACCAAGAGCTGCTTGGAGAGGTCTGACTCCAGCGTGCAGGATGTGTGGCCAGGCCCCAGAGAGCATTAGTCATGTTGTAAGGGAATGCTCAGAGCCAGCCGGAGATGAGTGTGAAGTGCAGCATGACAGAGTTGGCAGTGCCGTGCATTGAGGGTGCTGCCAGGGAAGGGGTCGGTGCCACAGCCACACTTACAGCTCTGGTCAGGTACATCGGTTGCAGCATGGGAGGTAAATTTGAAGTTTGCTTGTGAAAAAAGAAACAGATGTGGTGCCAGGAGAGGGGCAGAGCAGGAGAGCAAAGAGTCACCATTAACGTCCCCACTGATGGTGGAAAACACAAGAAGCCGTTCCCAAAGACGTGTATGGCAGGGAGCGAAGAGAACATGGGGCAGAGAAATGGGGACATTGCGATGCCACATCCCCATCTCCAGCGAGTCGGGACCTCATAGCAGCGCACCTCGGGCGAGCAGCGCGGGGCTCTCGCATGTCGCGACACGCCCAAAGCAGGAATATCGCCTGTCGGCTGCGCGGCCGCGGCTCGCGGGGAGGGGGAAACTTGACGGCGGCGGGCGCCGGGGCTGCGGGCAGTGGGGCGAGACGGGGTGGGAGCACCCCGCCGGCGCGGGGAGGGGGCGGGCGGGGGCCGCTTTCCAGAGAATACGGTAAACATGTCCGCATCACGTGTGGCCGCCTCCCGCCGGCCGCGGCGCGGGGACCCAGCGAGGGAGGGGCGGGACCGCGCTCCGCAGCCCGCCGGAGGGTGCGGGGCCACTTTAAGAGGCCGCCGGGCGCCGCCGCCTCGCCCTGCCCGGCGCGGAGCATGCGGTAGGGCGGGCAGCGGGCGGCTCCGGCACCATGGGGCTGTGCTACAGCCTGCGCTCCCGCCTGGCCGCCGCGCACCCCTCGGTGCCCTACGGCAGCCGCGGCGAGGCGGACCCGGCGGCGGAGCAGCAGCAGTGCGGAGACCCGCAGGTGCGGCACCGGCTGCGGCAGGACCTGGTGGCCAAGGAGCGGGCGGATAAGAAGCGGAGCAAGAGCATCGATAAGACGCTGAAGGCGGAGAAGAGGGAGTACAAGCAGACGCACCGGCTGCTGCTGCTCGGTGAGCGGGGAGCGGGAGGAGGCGGCGAGTCGGCGGCTCCCGGCAGGTGCGGGGCGGCTCGGCGCGGCGTCGCAGTCGGCGCTGGATGCTGCTCCTCGGCCCCGGGCCGGGCGGTGGGCGGTGGCTGCCGGGGCAGGGCCGGGCCGCGCTCACGTGGCGGCGGCGCCTCAGCGCCTCGAGGCTCCGCGCGGGGCGGGCGGGGCGCGGGGGTCGCGCACCCCGCGGGGCTGCCGCTGCGTCCCTTCTTCCGCGTTAGTTGTCGGCACCGCGAAGAAGGGCGCCGCGTTACACCGGTGCGATCGTTCTGCGCGGAGAAAGCGTGAGGTGTTCGGCGCCCGTTCGTCTGCGAGCTTCGCCGCCGCTGCCTCCCGAAATAGCGGGGCCGGGCCGTGAGGCTCGCTCGGCTCGCAGCCGCCCCGCAGCACCTGCACGCAGCCCGCCGCGCCCTGCGGGAGGTGCGGCCGCTTCCCGAGGAGACCCCGAGGCCGCAGCCGGAGCTGCTGCGCTGCGTGGCCCGGGGCGGGTGCCGGCCTTCGGTGGCGGCCGCGGGTCCGGTGCCCCTTTGTCAGCACGTGTCGCTCGGAGCTCTGCTGTCAAAGGCGAATGGGATGCAGTGCTGTGAGCCGTTCGGAATAGAGGTGGTGTGGAAGTTTGGCGAGTGCCTCCGGAGCTTCCCAGCTGCTGAAGCGTGCGTGGGGCTGCGTGTGCACAGCGGCAGGGGTTGTGCCAGTCTTCGTGCTGAAAGTTTTGATTCCGGAAACACTGCCTTGTCTACACGGTTGTAACCGTGCTGGGGAGTGTCTGAAAAGGCGCGTTTCCATCTGATGGGAGGGGGCAAGGAGTGCTCGTGTAAGGCAGTGAGGTCTGCCTGCTGCAAGCCTGTGGGTGAGGAAATCACACCTTCACCCAGCAGGGCGGGCTGTGCTGGGGGCGTTGTGCTCAGTAGCTTCTTAATGTGTTTCTGTCTGTAGGTCTGTTCTCTAGTGAAGTGCTTGAAGAACAAGCTATGATTTTTTTTTTTTTTTCCTATATTAAATTGGGAAGAAAAAAAACCCAATAAACTAATGTTGATATTGATCTGCTTGTCCTTATGGCCTAAACATTGTCCAGAAGACTTGTGTGTTCTCCTCAGGTAATGTTTCAGCTGGCTGTTTTCTCGTATCGGTGCTGGCAGGCTGTGCACAGCATTGGATTTTGCAGAAGTGGCATTCAACTTGGAGTGGGTTAAACAACAAATCTGAGTAGTTCAGAGTTATCTGTGCTGAAGACAACAGAGAGTGCATTCTTTGTCGAAGTACTGATTTATAAATCTGATGGATATGAGTCAGTGTTATGCTGGCAGTGGTTTATTATATTTCAGCCTGGACTTGAATAGCAGGAAGTCACTTTTTGGCCCTCTTGTAAATCTCGGGATGCCTAAGAGACCCATTTCCCCGCTCCTTGCGCAGACAGACAGTTTTCCCGTTGGCTTCCTTCCCTTGCTCAGTCTCCCTGTACCCCACTCTTACAGCTACTTGGTTTTCTCTTTCTAAGCTGAAGCAAGAAGTTTGGAGTGCATTCGGTTGTACTTCATGCGCATCTGCAGGTACTGCTGCAGTAGCTGATGTCTGTGTACCGAGGTGTAGCCCAGATGCATATGGGTTACATCTGCAAGTTGTGCAAGGCATAATGTTGCCCTGCAGCTGGCCGAGGAAGCAGGAGCATCCAGCTCAGACTTAAAGCAGTAGCTGAGCCTTCTTCCAACGAAAGGAGGTCAGGGTGGGTAAAAAAGCTGGAGAAATGTGGATTGCAGATTTTTCCCCTCTTGATTTGATAGCAAAAGCTTCAAAAGGTACTCATGGCTTCCTGCTTGTGCTCCAAGTTCTGATGTGCTCCTGCACGTCCTTCAGTTCTGTAGCCTAGTTAACTGTAAGGACAACCCGTCTGGTCTTCAGGCATGCTTGCAGTCTGTGTATACCACTTTCCAGGTCCTCTCAGGCTGAACTTACCCATGTGAGAAGTACTTTGAGTTTATTTCTGCAATGGAGAAGGGAACTTGGCTATCTTTATATGCCATCATAGATAGATGCACTTGTCATCCAGGGTACTTAACTGCAATATATTGAGCTACAGTATAGTGAGTAAGTGCTGTTCTGAGTCGTACATAAAAGTGTTTCTAATACTTTCATACTTTGATGAAAATACAAATGCAGGCAGAGCAAATCTGAAGTTTTTGTAGGAGGACTATATTGCACAGGAAGAAAAAAAAAATTACTTAAAGCTAGAAAGTATCAGTGTGAGTACTAACCATAGTGCCCCTTTCTGTGTGTATGCTGCTTGGTAAGCCCCTGGATACCATATAATTAAAGATCGTCTTGTATGGTTTACATTGTGTTTTTTTTTTTTCCCCCACAGGCTTGTACTTCATTCAGTGCACAAGATGGATGTTGTGCAGTGAATGAGCAGCTATTCAATATTCTTATCCTCCTCATGCAGAGTGTCACCCCGTGCCCTATTTACAGCGCACCATCCGTACCCCAGACTGAATAACGAACTGTTGAACTCGTGGGCTTTTCTGCAGCCCTTGTCACTGCAGGGACTGAATGTTCCATGTCAGTGACTGTGTCTGCATGGTGCTACTGTGAGATGAGGGGGCATCATCCTTCTTTTATGGATGCTGGAGAGGGAAATGCCACTGTGGAAAGGCCAAGGTGAAAGCTGTCTGAAGCTACCATGAAGTTTGTATGTCCCATCTTTGTCTAATGCTAATTTTTCTTGATAGTATTCAGGTTCTTTTGTAGTATTTCATATGTTAAGGGCATGTATCTCATGGCTGTGGAGGCTCAATAGGTCAAGTTTTGGATGCTTTAACAGCAATCCAGGAGGTGCCAGGTATGGGTTGGTGCCAGCAATTGCAGCACGTGTTGCTTGTTCTGCTCCAGTAGCTCAGCACCAGAGCAAAGCTGGTCTGGTTCTGCAGGGTATGTTTAATGGTGTCACCCACAATCATCCTTCATGTCATGATTTCCTACCTTGCTGTCAGCATCCTAGCACTGCTCTGCCTCCTGCAGGGGCCCGGCAGGCAAGACTGAAGAAGGTATTCTTTTATAAAAAAATAAATGTGGGCTTAGGAGCTTGATGAGATTCCATCTCACGTGAGCTTGTCACTGTAGACAGTAGTGTCATCATTCAATTACGTGTCCCCTTGTTTCTTGTGCACCATGTTTTATGAGCTAAAGGGAGGGTAAGCCCTGGTAAAATAAATATATGATCCTTATTGGAAGATGTGGAAAAGGCATGGAAGAAAAAAAATAGACTAAAACTATAAGGGGAATCTGTATTTTGGTATTTTCAAATTCTTGAGAACAGGATTATTGAAACTTCCTATACCAGTTGGCATTTCTCTTCAAGAAAAGGAGTAGGGGGAAAAAAGAAAAAATCTGGGTTCAATCCTATGGGTTGTGAGATACAAGTGCCTCATAACAGGCTGCCCTGCTGCCCGACTCAGCATCCTGCACACACACAGGCTCAGAAGGTGGCAGGACTTAATGGGCTGTCATTAGTGGTGAAGTAGGTGTAATTTTTTTCCAACAGGGCTCCCAGTAATTACCAGGTACTACAAACACTTAGATGTGGGAATCTGTGGTTTCCATCTGTTGGGTACTTTCCGTTGCAGGCATGATGATCCTGCTGCAGACACCAGGAGGTGGTACGCTAATTATAGGTGTCTTCATGATGAAGACAAGCCCTACTCTGTTCCCACTGTTGTATACAGAATGCACTCTATGGCACAGAGTGTTGTCCCTTAAGCAAGGATCCTCTGGATGTGGAGCATATTTCCCTGAAGGAAAATACCTGGAAAGCTTTGCAAGCTTAAACAAGGCTTTAACCAATATGCAAGCAGTGCTAGCTCCAGGAGCTGTGATGCAGTTTGATGAATGTTCTCTAGAACAAAGTGGTGTCTTCAGCAGTAGCACCTCTGTGCTTTGGGTCGCTTGTTACAGTAGTTCTGCTGTTCACTATTTAGAATTTCATACTAAGGAGTCAGACAAGCAGCTCATCATTCTTTGCCTTTTTTTTTTCCCCTCTTTGAATGCTGCTGACCCTAACTTTTTCTTTGTAGCATCTCCACATAAACAAAACAAAATCATTAATGTCAGGCACACACATGGCATGGAGAGCTTCAGCTGGCATATTTGAAATCTGGCAAAGTTAGAGCTTCAAACGGGGTCTGTCAATGGGAGGTGTCAAGAAACCTGCATCTGCACTGCTATAGAAGATGGGGGACTGCTGTGGGTGGCATGCTATTGTTGCTAGGTTGGTCCCAGCCAGAACTGCCAAATAATTGCTTTTACAGTTGCATCTAATGCTAATGGGGTTGTTCATGTAAGCATGGATCGCTGTGGGGAAGGGGCTGAGAGGTTCTGGGGAATTCCCTGATTCCTAGTGACAGTAGCAGCCATACAGCCACAGTGTGGTTATAGACATGCATCTCTTCTCCATCATGTAGGCATTGTCTGTGTTAGTGGTAACCTGTGTTTTTACTCACTACGTGCCTGATGGGGTAGAGATCATAATATGTTACTGAAGAAAGGCCATATTCATGTATAGTCAGGGATCTAATTTCAGGGTTTTATCAGACTTTTTTTTAAACTGAGACTCTACCCCCAGCATGTGCTGGTTTTGGTTGTTGATTCTGGTTTTTTGTTCAGTCTGTTTATTCTGAAGGAAAGCAGCAGTGTTTATTCTCCTCCTGTAGAGGAAGGATGGCTGCTGGATCTCCTGGTAGCTGGCTGTACCTGCGTGAAACCACCACGTTTCTTGCCTGTAAGAAATTAAGGCTTACTCAGCATGCATGCTGGCAGGAGTCCAATGTGTGTTGTTAGGGCAGGTGACTCCCATGAAGCTTTTCTTTAGAAGTGGGAAGAACTTTTTCACTTGCATTCTTTCCAGAGAAGACAAAAATTTCTTGGTCGCTCCTGTGCAGCTGTTACCTCCGTCTGCACTGAACCATCTTAAAT